GTAGAGCATCTGCTTGGCATGCTGAAGGTCCCAGGTTCAGTCCCTGGAATCTACACTTAAAGGAATCAGGTGGTAGGTGGTGTGAAAGACCTCTGCCTGAGACCCTGGAGAGCCACTGCCAGTATGAGTAGACAATACTGACTTGGATGGACCAAAGGTCTGATTCAGTATAAGGCAGCAGCATCATTTACAGCACAGTAGCTTGGTCTTTCCTTTTGCTGTTTAAGAAATCGCTTGCTTTTATTTAGGCCTCCTAAACATAATGAAATTATTGCTCCTCTCCCAAAGTTGTGCTGCACACAGGACTGGGACCTTCAGACTGGCAGAGGCCCACCTTGCTTTCCCCCAGTTGCTAGATATTCTAAGCATTTCCCTGAGATAAATTTATATTTTACACATCAAATGGAAATTAACTGCTCAACAGCATTGCTATTGCATTCGCCTCTGCTCGAAAGGCACCCTTCTTGAGAGTACATTACTCCTGTTCTTCTGCTACTGTGTAAGAGAGCAAGCCCGAACCCAATCGAAAGGAACAAGAAGTGCCTGTTCTACCTGCCCCCAGCATGGCTCTGAAGCAGAAGTCGTTTAGCCGCGGGAAACTTGGTCTCCTGGCATCCCAGTGTTAGTGAACCGCCAGTAACTATCGCCCTCATACAGACAATGAGCTTTGGTTTTGGAGACATCTGCTGTTCCTGGATGCAGCAAATGACTGCTCCTTTCTGGAATGCTGCCTTTCTTCCATGCTCCACAATGGGAATTTATCATGGGCAGGGTAGGTTTTTTTTGCCACAGAGGGGAATGAAGCCCTTTGTGCGACTGGTTGAGAATGCAATCCTCTTTTTCCAATCGGACCTGGTTAAAATAATTTGTGGGCTTGCACTGGGGGTCAAAGGTTGGGAGGTTTAGGATTTCGTGGGAACATGCGCTTGTTTGGACTTGGTCCAAGAGCTTAGTTTACCTGTTTGACAGGTAGCAATTAGAGAGTAATCGCTTGCCAAGCTGGAATGTAGCTGTGGAGGCCCATTGCTACGGATCTGGTTTACCTGTTCAGCAGGTGTGGGCTGTAGGGCTCAGATAAGTATGTGCACACACAGCATTCCAAAGAATCAATTTTCTCTGAAAAGACACAGCAGTGGCTTCAGGGCACAAAAGGGCTGGGCTCAGCCTGCTGGAAGATGGTTGGTTATTTGCACGGCAAAGAAGGAAAATAAATAGTGGCACAAAAGATAAGCACCAGGGAAGGGGGGGGGGGAAGACTGACAGCAACACAAGGCTCTTTTTCTGCCCGCCCCTTCTCTTTCCCCTCTTGTCTGGCAGGAGGAACAAATGTTTGATTTAGTGAATGGAACAAATGGTAATCTCAGGCTGCTTTTCGTGGACTCTGCACTGGATTTACCTGGCACTTTCTTCTCCCCGTGGATCTGTAAATGTCTTCTCTCAGCCTGGAGCCTTTCATGTGTAAGGGGAACTTCTCCCAATCATTTGGGAAGGTCCCTGAAATGAGCCTTTGAAATGAGGGGTGAGAAGTGAAATGTGTGCCAGAGAATACATATTCCATCAGGTGTTCTTTTCTAAAATTGTCTTGCAAATGTGCAGTGTCATTTTTTTCCCCAATGCCATTTTTTAATATTTCCACTTGTGGCAATTGCTGTGTTTAAGGCAATTAACATACGATACGAAAATGACTTTTCAAGCCTCCCATTTGTTGATGGAATTGGTCTCTTTTCTGCAAAAGTTCACACCACAATAGATTTGTTGAAATTTAAGGTGCTTACCAGACCTTTGTTGTGCTTTCCCTTCAAAGGGAAGAACTTTCCAGTTCAAAAAGTTGAGTTTTTGAAGGTCTGCCAGTGCAGTTTTGTTGCTGGTCTAGCTGAAATCCAGTTTTACTAGAAATCCTAACTGTCTGCCAAACTAGGTTTGGGAGGTTTCATGATAGGGGTGGTAGACGAAAATGAATGAGTCCAAGCCTTTGGAGGCAGTATAAAAAATGTCAGACTGGAGAAACCACTATGTCAACCGGCTGAGCAAGTAAGGCTTGCAAGGTTTGTGCATTCCAATTGTCTAGTCTTTAACCCCAAAGAGGCATCCCCCATGACCTGAATAGGTTCATCGACTAGGAAATATACATTCAGCTGGCGATGCAGCTAGACCTGTCAGTTAACAAAGCAGCTGCCAGGGACAATACACTTCAATGTCATCTCCCTATTTAGCTAATTTATTTATTCCCAAACACAGGAGAGTTTTCACTTTAGCCTGTTTCAATGTTCTCCCTTCTGCTTTATTAGAAAGGAGTTAACTGCAGTGTGCCGCTTCATGGGCATTATACCTTTGCACTACTGGAGAACTTGAAACGTCTGGACATGTGCCCCTTCTGAAATGATCTTAGCTATATCCTTATTACACCCATCCTCCCAAAACTATCCCAGGAATATCAGAGGAATGGTATAGTTTCTTTCTTCTTGCAGTCCTTGAACTTTGAATCTTGGATAGGGTTGCCAGATTTTGTGCAGCTTCCAGAATCTACCAAGGTCTACACAGTCTAGAATTTACCAAGGTCTAGTCAGTTTGGTGTAGTGGTTAATAACGGCAGGGCTTTAATCTGGAGAACCAGGTTTGATTCCCCCCTCCTTCTCCACATGAAGCCAGCTGGGTGGCCTTGGGCCGGTCACAGCTCTCTCAGAGCTCTCTCAGCCCCACCTACCTCACAGGGTGTCTGTTGTGGGGAGAGGAAGAGAAGGTGATTTTAAGCTGCTCTGAGACTCCTTCGGGTAGTGAAGGGCAGGGTATAAAACCAACTCTGCCTCCTCCTCCTCCTCTTCTTCTTTGATTTAATGATGCATATTTGCTTATCTATCAATTTATCATCGGTCTGTCTGTCTATCTTAATGGATGATTGTATATGTATTCTAATAACTACTCTGCTAAAATATGTTTTATTCAGCTGGTCCATAACCATAATAAATTACTGACTGATCAATTGAATGTCATCCCTCTGCATGAACTCCATCCTATAATCTTCAATGTCACCACAAGGGTTCCAGGAGATACTCTCAACCCCTGACTTGCCTTGAAAAACCTCGACCCAGTTCTTGCCAGAGGATGCACAGCATTTTGTCAGCGAGATCCATGATGAATCTTGAATGCTTGGGTGTTTATTTACATTACTTACAGCCAGTGCGGGAAGTATTGCCAGTGTACTGAGATTGGCAAGGGAGGGGTGTTTAACCTTTCCCCTCCAGTGTTCCTAATCCAAGTGCTCCCTCCAACTGCTTTTTGCCCCATAAATTCCCCTGTGAAATGAACCGCAGTTTGAAAAGGGGTGGTATTTTGATCAGGATATCGGTGCAGAAGAGAAGAGTTAAACTTTCCTCTCCCTTCTGTTGGTGCAAAACAAACTGGATCTCCTCCATAACGTGCAGTTCGGCACTAAATCTTTTGAGACTGGGCTAGATCAAAGAGAGAGAAAGAAAAATCCTGTGATATTTTTACATGTACATTTGAGCACTGAAGCAAACCATGGATGCATTTAATATTGCCTCTCAAAAGCCTCTTGAGGCTCGGCTTCACCTTTTAATTGCCTTGCAAGAAACCACAAGAGTAACTGTTTGCTTTGTGCCAGAAGAGAGAACTTTAATTACTCCTTTTCTTTCTTGAGCAAATGTTTCTTCTGGCCACTTCTTACTGCACATTTTCCACTTGGACTCCAAAGAGCGAAGTGCGAATGCATGCACATACACACAGCATCAGGTATCCAAAGGGGTGAGCGGTGGCTCCTGAAAGCTCATCCCCTGCCCCACAAATTCTGTTAGTCTTTAAGGTGCTCCTGGACTCTTGCTCTTTTCTACTGCTACTGCCAGACTAACACGGCTGCCCATCTTGATCTGTCAAATACCCTCAGTTATGAAAACACTCACAAATGTATCATCGGGACCTCTTCAAGGTCTCTATAGGGGAGGCAGGGAAACCATACTGGTAGGATCGCCAACTCTGGGTTGATAAATGCCTGGAGATTTGGGGGTGGACACAAAACTCATACATACATACGGTTAAAAGAAATAGTCTAAATATCAGACTCAAAGCTTATATCATCAAAGCTGATAGTTATACGTATCCAATTGATGGGTAATTGGATATGTACAACTATCAGCTTTGATGATATAAGCTTTGAGTCTGATATTTAGACTATTTCTTTTAACCGTATGTATGTATGAGTTTTGTGTAGACCCTAACAAATATTTGTATTTTTAATATAATTTATATGTTAGCTTGACCCTCTTAGTTCACAGCTACATTTTGGGTTGAGTCCTCACCCCTTTTTCTTCAATTTGGGGGTGGAACCTAGGGAGGGTGGGGTTTGGGAGGGGCCTCAGTGGGATTTGCTACAGTGAAACTTATCTCTGTTGTTTGGAAATCAGTTGTAATTCCAGAAGATTTCCAGGGCCCACCTGGAGGTTGGCAACTCTAAGCACAGGTAATGAAAAACAGCCTTCGTTCAGTCAAATCAAGGCTGGAGTGACTGTCTGCAAACCCAATCCAGAAGTCAACTGTAGTTTTGTGCCTTGTCTCAACTGAGGTATCTCAACTCTCAATATTGATTTCAATGAAACTTCATTCCAAGTTGTGTGTTTTGGAGTAGGACTGCAAGTTTTGGAATGAGTAGATCCCGATCAATGGCTGTGCAGTGTAAATGAATGGCAAATCATCAGGCCTCATGGAGAGGAGGCTGCTCATGTGCCAGCAACTCCTCCGTCACCACTATGGCAGTGGACAGGGCAAATTTGGCTTGCCAGCACCAGGCTGTGATCTCCTGGCTGCACAGGACGATCTAGCCACAACCTAGAACTATCTGTGCATTGCTTAATAAATCTCTTTTTTTAATGGCCTGGGTGACGTGAATTGGACAAGACTGAGCCTCTCTGATGGAACAAGCGGAGAGAACAAAGTAAGAAGGAGTCGCTTTGTTTCTACAATAATTTCTTTTTCTTTTTCTTTTACAGAAACTGGCAAATCTGTGTCGTGTGGGTCCTGGAATCCGTGCAGTTTCAAGTGGGCACCGGTTTTACCTCTTCTGAGAAAGGAAAAAGGCTTCCCTGCATTCATTTGCCAAACGAGAGATTAATCTGATTGCTCTGTGTCCGCGTTTATTGCAGGCTACAGTTTCGCTTAAGTCACCCAAAGAGCTATTGTTATTTTAGGAACAAAAGAAAGGGGCCCACAGCTGCAACTAAGGAATTATGCTCCCATGGAAAGATAAAACTGGGATGATGCACTGCAAAGGTTGAGGAAAAGGGAGAGGAGAATATCTGTGGAAGGTGTGATCTGCAAAAGGGTTGGCCAGGGCAAGGTGTGGCCCTGAACTCCAGGAAGGCCCTAGACTAGCCTGGGGGCTTGATATGCAGGAAGGCATCATCTGGGAATCTGGAAGGAGAGACAGACACCTTTTCATTTGCAAAACCAATTTAGGATCATTGTAAATGGACAGAGTCTTTTCATAGTGTTGCCTCAGAGAGATCAAAGGCAAAACTTTTGAAGGAACCTTCCCGCACCTGTGGTGAAAGGGTTCAGAACTTCATTTGATGCACTTCTGACTGTTGCAGTACAACCATACAATTCTGTTCATTGCCATCTGCACTTCTGATAAGGGTGTCAGCCAGGTATCGATCCCAGTCTTGCAGTCAGTGGTGCTAAATTCCCACTTACCTTTCAGAGAAGGGAGATAAATACCTTCCTTGCTGAAGTATTTTCCTCTACCCTTAATTCCAGTTAATAGAAATCGCCATGAGAACAAGTCCCAAAGGTGAAAGAAAGTCAGCTAGTTTTTCATGCAGTGATTTTTGTAGTCACTAAGTAGTAAGATTCTAGTGCAGAAGTTGTTCTAAAGGATCTGGTATGCAATGTAGTGATGGCCAAGAGCATAGATGACTTTCAAAGGGAATTAGATCCATCATCAGTGGCTCCTAGCCATGATGACTCAAGGGAACCTCCACATTTAGAGGCAGTAAGCCTCCAAATACCAGTGCAAGGAAGCAACAATGTCAGGGAAAGGCCTTTGCCTCGTTGACCTCTTTGTTGGCCTTCCAAGACACCTGACTGACTGCTGTGTGATACAGGATGCTGGGCTAGTTCACCATAAGTCTGATCCAGCATGACTTTTCTTATATTATTATTGATTAATTGGTTTGATTTAGCTTACACAGTAAAGAAAGGGGGGGGATGAAATGATACAACATAAGATGTCCAATGAACAATGCAATAGAACTAGGAATACAAAAATTCAAAGACAATGAGGGCAACACTGAGAACAGCAAACTACCTAAGGCAAGGAATTGTGTGAGCAATACAGAATGTGGGATTACAAGGTATATAAGACAATGCAGTACAAGTTGGCTCGGCTGATACCTACAATGATAGGTGATACCAACAATTGTCTCTGCAGTGGACTACCTATTCCCATATATGAAGGTATTCTTCTGGACTGTTCCATCTTAATACTGTTCTGTTTCTGTTATAAGAATGCTCTTCCAAACATTTATGTTTTGCACATTAAGCCCTTGTTGAGGGCTGGAGCCCGTGGAATTACTCAAGGATTTAGGTCCTTGTTGTCTCAACTATTTGCATGTGGTGAGCAAGGTCACTGCAGTATCTACAAGAGCACCATAGCTGCCTTCCTCTGGAAATGCTGCGGAATCATTTTTGGCTGGACTTTACAAATGGCTGTCCTTGCGGTCTGTTACATGGGCAGCCTTGTGTTGTAGCAACTCAGACCCACTTATCCCATTTGATTTGATCACATGGTGACCATATTGGACACTAGGCAAAAATAGCTGCCTCAGTTAGGACCACTTAGCCCAACCATGACAGCTCTTTCCAGCCTGCAAATCATTTCACAAAGGTTTATTAGTTTTCAACCATTTTTATTTGCCCTAACGTAAAAAATCTTCATCGGATCATTCGGAGGTGGATGTTCAGCAAAGCAACCAAGTGAATGGTGAATTTGCAATTTTTGTATTAATGACAATCTATCTCTTCTATAACTCCATTATGAAAGCCTGTACAGGTTTGCGAACTAGTGCTTTCAAGTTTATCCCAAGGACACAGAATGAAAGATGTCTGGGATACAGAAGGAATCTCCTGACATGCTCCAACTTGTAGTCCACAATGCCTCAATACAAACTACCTCTGTCCATAATTAAAGTTAACTCATAGCAGTGACAGGATGGAAAGAATATGTGATTCTCAATATCCATTTTCAAATGCAAGTGTGATGCATTGAATCCCCCTATTCCATCTAGTCTTTGATTTTTATCTACTTGCATTGAGAGACTTATTTGTATTTCTTTAAATGGGACAATTCATTCATTCTGATAATAGAGGGGCCCTGTTTTCTTCCTCAGCACACCTTGCACCTGGCAAGACAAAAAAAAGTTATTTTCACACAATGCAAACTTTGCCTATGGAATTTATTGCAACAAGATGGGGTGTAGGTCACAGATTAGATAACTTTAACAAAACTAGAGAACTGTATGAAGAATATGTCTGTTAATGGCTATTGACCACAACAGCTAAATGGAAATCCCATATTCAGAGGATGTGTGTCCCTGATTAGCAGTTGTAGGGGATGACTATTGCATTCATGCTCTCTTACACATTTCCAAGAACCATACAGCTGACTACCATCAGAAACAGGATGCTGGACTACATCGACTCTCAGGCTGCTCCCACATGGGGGCCATTCACTATCATGTACTCAATGTCGCTCTGAAAGCAAAGGCATTCATAGCAGCAACAGACAAGCCACATAGGGGAATTCTCCAATTTTCTCTCCCCCTACCCCCTTGTGGCTGCAGTTTCCCCTCCACACCACTGGTGGGCCATTTTAAATTGGTAGTTAACTGTGTTGCTGCTATGGCAACTAATTTTTTAAAAAACTGGCAAAAAGTCCCCTGGTGGTGGTTATTGGGAAATGGTGGGTGTGAGGGGATACTTGGGGGAAATGGAACCAATGGGCAGGGCTCTTTTTGTAGCAGGAACTCATTTGCATATTAAGCAACACACCCCTAATGTAGCCAATCCTCCAAGAGCTTACAGTAGCCCCTGTAAGAAGAGCTCTGTAAGCTCTTGGAGGATTGGCTACATTAGGGGTGTGTGGCCTAATATGCAAAGGAATTCCTGCGACAAAAAGAGCCCTGCATGGGGGTGGGGAGGTCTGAAAACCTATACCTTCCCGACCACACAGTGCCCCAACCTGCTTTGTTTATGATCTTTCCAGAAGAATCATAACAAAGCAGGTATGAGGGGTAGAGCACAGTGAGGCAGGGGAAAACCCAGAAGGATAGATAATTGCATGATGGTGGTGTGGGAAGGCCATTGCTCCCCCCAAAATGCTGCAGGAGAGAAGTGAAACATCCAAGGAAATATCCTTGATCTGATCCAGCAGGCCTCTTCATATTATATAACTACAGATGTCTGACAATAAAGGACACTGAGATGTATTCATCCCTATGTCTTGGTGTTGTTTCCTAGCCATGATTTCCCACCAGTAATGATTATTCTTGTAGGCAATACTGTAGCTACTCAGAGGAAGCCCTAAACGTATATGAAAAACCATTCATGGGTCTTTAGTTAATGGTTTTGTATTGTCCTCAGCATATGATAGACCTGTCTTCCATGAATCTGTCTAGCCCCTCATAAAGCCATCTCAGATGTTGGCCATTCCTGCACTCTTAGGGCAGAACATTCGAGACATTGTGTGGAGAATTTTGCTAATCCCCAACCTGCTTCCCATCAGTTTTAAATATTATGACAGAATGTACCATTCATAACTGTATCATGTTATAGTTTTCCTTACAGAAAGTCTCTAAACTTTTCAGTAGTTCCCTGCATGGAAGGTGCTCCATCTTAATCCAGTTCCATAGATTATATACATTCTAGTGCACAGCAAATGGCCAAAGAACTCTGCAAAATCAAAGGTCAGAATGGAACAGTAATTCTAAGGATCTCTACAAGACTGATAGGCTACCGAGTCCTCCGTGCTCTTGAGGCAGAATGCTCTCAGACTCCACCAATACCAAATTAAACCCAAAGCAGAGTGCATAGTGGGCAATGGGGGAAGAGGATGGATGGATGTCCATTAGGGCCCAGCCTCCATAGCAAGCATTTGGAAACACTGCCCTCTCCATTGATTGAGTCCTACAACAGCTTTTAATTATGAAAAGGAAATACATCCTTTCTGCTTTTTCAAATTTTCATCATATGAAATGTTTTCACTCAAAGCAGAGACATAGGAAGTTATTCTGAATTTGATTTGTAACCCATTTAGTGTCCTCTCCTCTGGTGGATCCATGCAATGGGAAATCTTTTCATTTTTTTTGCAATACACTATTCCATTTATATACTATATTTCCTGTTCTTTTATTGTAAAATTGTATGTAAAGCTATGAAATGAAAGATAAGATCATAGATAATTATAGCTGCAACTGCTACAGTAGACTTAAGTAAACAATTCTCATCCGTAAGGACAATTGGTTGGAATCTATTTATTTATTTACATTGTTTACCCCCTGCCTTCTCCCCAGTGGGGACCCAAAGCAACTCACATCATTCTCCTCTCCTCCATTTTATCTGGCAAAGGCACTTTTTCAATCAGAAGAAGTTTGCGGAGAGGCACCTTTAGATCCAGCATCCATGCTTTGGTTCCCACACACATACAGCAAAGGAGTTCAAAACTATGTTTAGAAAGGAATCCTCTGTAAAAGTCTTTACAATGGAAAGCCTGTTATCTTCCCATACCTGTTCTTTTATTGTAAAATTGTATGTAAAGCTATGAAATGAAAGATAAGATCATAGATAATTATAGCTGCAACTGCTACAGTAGACTTAAGTAAACAATTCTCATCCGTAAGGACAATTGGTTGGAATCTATTTATTTATTTACATTGTTTACCCCCTGCCTTCTCCCCAGTGGGGACCCAAAGCAACTCACATCATTCTCCTCTCCTTCGTTTTATCTGGCAAAGGCGGAGAGGCACCTTTAGATCCAGCTTCCATGCTTTGGTTCCCACACACATACAGCAAAGGAGTTCAAAACTATGTTTAGAAAGGAATCCTCTATAAAAGTCTTTACAATGGAAAGCCTGTTATCTTCCCATAGGGCGATGTTCCCACTCCCTTGCCTGTGTAAGGAGTTCCTGCCTGGCAGCTGCCAACTACCAACTTAGGGAAGACCAGCTGCCATCCATGGGCAAGTGAGATACAACTGCTCTCGCCAGCCTGTCTTTTGACAGTGAGAACTCGAGTTCTTTAATCTGCAGTTCGTTAAACAAACAAATAATATAACAACAGCCAGCAGGCTAGGATGTAGATTTATTTTTGAAAAAAGGAGTAGTGCCTCAAAATAGTCTGGAAATAAAAATAGATTTTTTAAAAAAAATTCTTTAAAAAACCACCCTGGATCTATAAATCATTCATCTCGTTCCAAAGGAATGCAAGAGCCAGGGTAACAGCTAGAACATGTTCCCTGTTCCTAAGAAGGGGAGGAAGAGGAGCCAGCCCTTCTGGCAGCCGCTTTTATTAGCAGAATCCTTTGAAATGACTAAATAGCTCAAGGTAAAAGGTGGCAAGGCTTTGATTTAGAAAATGAGCCAGAGGCAGCTTCTCAGCACCACTCCCAGAAGGCAGACCTTGCAAGAGTGCTGCTGGTCTCATTTACTCCGAGAAAATATTCTTACTTACCTGTTTTAGAGAATTGTCAGATGCACTTCCGAAAGGCTTTGTGCAAGGAAAGCTGTCATAAATAGTCACAGTTGCCGAATTAGGATCCGTGCACAATACGAGCCAGAT